ACGAATTAGCACGCAAAATGTGTTGAAGATTCTCAATTAATCTAACGGAGGAAGCAGAGATACAGAGACGCAAATTCATTCGCATGAGATCGAAATGAAGAATCACCTTCAAGGTAGAACTTACTCTAATCACTCCCTCCTCCTCTATCAGATATCATCAATTGTACGAAGGTTGTTTAACTATCTGAAAAGTATATTTAAAACCGACAAAAGTTGGATCGTCGTGAAATTAACTATGAGTGATGTACATGCCTTCATTAATCTTCAAGGTAATTTCCTTCGTCGTCAATGCATTTCTGCCATCTGGCGGGTAAAGAATGTATCCCCTTCAAGGAAGAACTTTGTCGGTTGTAATAGGAGCCAAGTTATGGCGGTTTCTTTGAGGTCTTTGTCAGTGGTGAAATGAATTATCCACACGTGATTCTTCAATGGACAGAACGAGTGGTCCAATGGTGTCAAGTCGGGACTGTAAGCAGGGATTTGCAAAACGGCCCACGTGAAAGCTGCAGATTTTTTTTCAAATGGTGAAGGTCACAATGAGGGCGAGCATTGTCATAGAGCACATAAACATAAGTGTTTTTTTTAATGGCGGCCTCTTCCGTCTAAGGGCAGTTTTCAGTTCGTTTAACGTCTGGCAATATCGCTCCGCATTTAGGTTTGCGTTTTTCCAAGGAAATTGCAAAGCGATATCCCATTAATTCCATGACAAGCAGTTCTAACAGCCCACGTCGGATGTGAGAGGGAAAACGTGGGCCGTCAACGCAGTAGTCAGTCAATGTAGGCCCCAAATCGGTGCAAGGACGATAAGAACCGTTTGTCTTATTTGTGGGCGAGCCCTCTGTCTTGGTTGTTCGAAAAAGCAAGGTTCCCACAAGTGAAATGAGATGGTGTAAAATATCCACGATATCAGGGGTATCAGGTTGTGACTTGCTTTAACTTTCCATTACTTTTAACAGTTCGGGAATAATATTAACTTTTAATAAGTGCCTTACGTTTCAAAAGTGATTATTATTCCCCAAAATATATATTTTTTATTCTCTTAAGGGGGCCATGATCTCACACAATCCTCTCTCTGCTTTGTACTGAACGATTTTCGCTTCCGGGTCTCCACGTTTAGAGGAAACGAGAAGTGGCGCTGGCGAAATATACGATCCTATCGAGAGAAAATGAAGAGACATTCCTACATTCCCATTTTTACCTAATACGTCTGCAAGAGCAACAAGAGTTCCCATCTCTGTTTTTTAGACTTATGCTAGCTCGAATAAGTAGTAAATAATTGACATCTCTCTTTTTCGATTCCTTAAAATTCGGCCAAGCACAGCCTACACTTTATCACTGAGGGGTACCAGTTCCATTCATGTACAAATTGGTGTCCCCATTCACCGTCTATTTGAGTCACTAAGGTGTATTCGCAATTACTTCCAACTATATGACACCAACTCAGCCGTATGAGTCAAATAACTAAAAAAAAAATGCTAGGTACGGCTAGAGAAATGATGAATATCGCTGCCCACAGCACCTGAAACACTATCGATCATTACGTATTGCTGGCCCTCATATCGTCCACCCTAAGGGCAAGGACGCAGTTCATGCTTGGGGAGAAAATCAACAATAAACTGGTGCCAACAGAAGCAGATAAGGGTCCAACGGAAATATCCGAGACCCTCGCATCGCCATGCTCTGTCTTTATTCAGTTGAGATTAGATATGACGCTTCGTTTATGTGGTGAGGAAATTTACTATTCATGTATTGCAAGCGTGCTCTGGGATTCATTTCCAACACATCCTATCAGAGTTATTTAACCGAGTACCTCTGAAATCGTAACAGGTGAGAGTAATTTCTACTCCTGGATTGAACCTTTAGCGTCCATTTAAATAATTGGTTTTTTTTTTCGTTTCGATGCTTTTCCGTTGATGACCGTTCGTATGGCAAGTCGAAGATTATCATTCCAGTGTCATTATGTTTTTATTTGACTGCACTGCTCGGCATTGCACAATTTTTTGTGAAATTGATCATAATTTATCATGATCGCTGGAATGTCGTGCTTACGAGTATCGAGTGTCGTAGTAATGAGTATGCAGGTGTTCGCATTTGAAAACATGACTGCGGCGCTGAGTCACGTTGTCTGTCGTGTGTCTCATGGATTGCGTCTTCAATGTCTTCGATTCCAATTGAAAGGAATTAGAGGAAAATGACGGAGGAACGTTTGATTGTCGATAATCGGGAACCAATTTTTCGGCTTTACTTCGAATTCGGCTAGAACACGTAATGGAAATTAACAAATATTTGCCAAACAAACAATTTGGTGAACGAAGATGTTCTGTCCCGTTTGGAAAGTGCATCGAGAAAATACGAGATCACTGACAGTGTAAAGGGAGATCTGGGTGAAGACGATGATCGAGAGCAGGTTAAATTTCCCGTCGAGCTCCTCAATTCGTTGAACCCATATGGTTTACCGCATCGTGATCTCAATCTTTAAGTCGGTACCATTGTCATGCTTCTTCACAACCTGCTTATTGACAACGGCATTTACAATTGCACTCGATTGGTTGATGATGTTATCTTCCATCTCTCGAACAAAGTCAAGACATTCACCGGTATGCGATGCGGAAACTTGCATTTACTGCCACGAGTGTCACTCGACACGGCGACCGATCCGAGTTTTCCCTTCGATATGTGCCGAAGATGATTCCCGATTCGTTTGGTTTACGGTATGACCATCGACGTTGATCAGGGACAAACGTTTCACACGGCTGGTCTTTTGCTGCCGGAGCCCGATTTTTCTCGCGGTCAGCTATATGTTGCGTGTCCTTCAGCCCGGTCCGTCGATTGCTTCAAAATCCGAGTGGTCGATGGGCAATGACAAGACCCAGACGATAATGTTTCGACTGACAATGTCGTGTACACGGAAGTGTTGTAGATTCCAAATTCCTTCATAAATCAGATATGCTGCCAAATTTTGTGTTCTTCATTTCGATTTTCCGATTTATATTTGCGATGATTTCTACTGATCTTCCAAATATTTCAGATTTCATGATCATTTTTCTCATTGATTTCCAAAGTAATTGCCTTTTCTTCATTTGTCGCTTTTCCAATTTGAAATGGTCTTTTCCATTCATGATTCATTTCTTTATTCGTGATTTATTTGTGAGGTGTGCTCTCGGTGATAATAAAATCAACTGGGTGGCCACACTTTCAAACTTCTGGATGTTTGCTTGAACATTTTTAATGCTTGGTTTGAACTGAATTGCTCCATATCTTTATGGAAAAGAGTTTTCAATGTCATGCGCGTGCATGACATGCGCGGGCGCACAGTGCGATCGCGTATGCTCTCTCTATAGAAGAATCCTGTCTGTCCCTGAGTGCACGTCTCCCTCCTTCGGGCTCTTATTTTTTTTCGGCCGTTGCGACTGTCGGATCTTCCTCGAGAACGATTCGGACTCGGAGGGAGGAGGATGGGAAGGGGAAGAAAGGAAAATAATAGAAGGGGCGTGATTCGAACCCAAGACCTCCTGATTGGGGATCATATACAGTATGCTACAGCTGCACCACCGAATACTAGACATGTCTTTTACCTCCATGCTATCCCTAACGCTACAACGGGAAAGAGAGGCATTATACGCCCACCCCCGCCTCCCTACATGCAAAGGGTCCGATACTGACTTTCCCGCAGGGACATGTAAAACGTCTCCGTGTGTTACACTTGGAGTCCCCTTTCATCTCAAGAGGAAAGACGACTTCCTCGCCAGTATGAGATCTCCACCGATATATTTATCAGGATCCCGATCCCTTTATCGATTAGAACCCCGACCTCTCATTGATCGGCACTCCCGAGGAGAGTGCCGAGGGTGAAAACGGCGGGAGCTTACTCTTGGATTGGAAAGACGACGTCGGCGGCATCGTCACCATCCCTTTTCTCTATCCGTATTTTTCACTCAAAGGCTTAAATGAAAAGTGGTGTTGATGGACTTTACGGACGATTCCCCCCAGGGTCGCGATCCATCCTGCATATAAGTGCCACTCATTAAATGTCCGTTTCGTAGGAGTGAATACCCCCTATGGGATGGGGGGATGGGGCTGGGCAAGACTATAATGTCCGAGCGGCTGCTGCATAGATCGGTGAAACGAAAGTCAAACGTACTAAAGTTCGTTTTACGAAGTGAATGTTCAAAGGCAAACATAAACTAAAGGAGACGAAGGGCGACTACTAGGTGCGTGGTAGGGGTGTTGGCGGGTCTTGGCAGGGTATTCAATTGGGCTGCTCTAATAATCGAGTGTGAAACGGCTCTAATAATCTGATAAAATGAAGTCTTGGAACGACTCGATAGGGCTTACTGGTTCCTCTGAGAATTTATTGTTCCTGCTGTGTCAGGGCTGTTTTTCCGCGAGTTAATATTTAGAATAAAGATGGATTGAAAACTCATGGAATATCCCATAAGAGTGAATGGTGACTAGGCGCCATGAGCCCAACAATTCCAATTGCAACCCGCATGCCTATACTGTTCCTACGGGTGCGCCATCTCCAGCTATATCTTAGCTCAACTGCTCTCCCTGTCACGGGCACGGAGCACTGCGGCAGGTTGTTACTTACAGAAAACAAATAATCAATTTCGCTCCCTAGCGTCCCGCGCCTGACAATTATCTTTTCAGAATCTCTTTCTTCAATCAGGAGGAAAGGTTCGTGCCTGTTCACAGCCGAGAAAGGAATATCCCACAACCGAGTTTGATACCTAAATTTATTACAGAAGTTTTTAAATGTTACCAAGTTGTCCAACAAAAGTATTCAAAATATAAAGAAGCAAAAATTTTGGTCAGTTCACGAGGTTCACAGACAACAAATAAGGAGCTATCCGGTTTCCTAGGCAAACGCGCGTAAGAGAGAGAGAGTTTTCGAATTTATCGGGGAGACCTACTCTTACGGGTCGAACTGGGGCACTAACACTCTGGCCGGACTGGGAGGGAAAACTCCACTATCAAGGACAGGGCCGAGTCCCCTCTCTTCACTCGGGACTCAACTTCTCGGACGAAGTTTCTACCTTTTTCTTCGGGTCCAGAAGAGGTTCCTGGAGGAGGGATTCTTGGGTGGTAGCTCGCGCCCATTGGTTGTCCAATTCCCAGGAACAGTTCTTATTGGGAAACGCATTCGAGGACAAAATCATCTTCATTAATTTCTGGGTCCGTATCTCCGAACATGTACCTGTCCAACCAATGGTTTTGGAAATGAGGTTGTCTCATAAACCCTTGGTTGCGACATGAGTTTTCTGGACAGGGATGTCCGAAGATATTGTCATCCGGATCCTGACTGGAGGTCACCTCTGGAAGAGCGGGGATGGTGATCCAGATCCGGCATCCCTGGGATAATGTCCCATCATACGTTTTCCCCTTGTCTCCTCAGCTTCCCTTACGGATTCCTTTAGGTTCCTATAGGATTCTTATAGGAATATATAGGAATCCTATAAGACATTTTCGTAAGGGATAGGTTTCCTTAATTGAGGAGTTCTTCAGAAAAAAGGGCGTAAGTGCCTGAACGCCCTCTTTCCATATCCCTGTCAATGGGCTGATTTACGTGACTTGTCATAGGATAGGGCGGTCAGCAGGTAGGTAATATGCATATTCAGGAAAGGATTTGCAGATTTTCTTATTCTTACACTACACGGCAGGCCAACTGCCTCGCAATTTCAACATGGCCGCATCCATGTATATTTCATAAGTATCTGCATCGCTGAACGCTTTTGGTGGAATACTTCCATTTTTCAAATTGGAAATGAGAATGATGAAGAAACCAGACGAAAGGAAAGGTGAAGAAAGAGGCGGAGTCATCCAAACATCTGGAAGGATGCAAGAAGTTAACGATATCAATGAAACAGCGGTATCAATAGATTCAGATTATGAATGAATTAATAATGAATCACTGATGAGTAATTGGTGAATTAATCTTATTCTGAATATTCACATCTTTTACCGTCATTCTTTGGGGAAGAGTTGATTTAAAATCGGTAAATGTATTTATTGATAAATTTTGATTTTTAACTAGAAAGAGGTGGTGTGACAATTGGTTGGAAAGAGTTCTAGTATTGCGTGTATAGAAAAAGGGCGTATGTGCATTTTTAATGCACATACGCCCTTTGCAATGTGAGATGAAGAAATTCTTGAAAACACCAAGTTCAATTGGGAAAATGCCTAAGAAACCATTTTAATGAATACTGAGTTTTGACCAGCTGCATATTAGCTATGGGAAGTTTTTGCTGTTTATCTCGAATTGCATATTTTGCACATACGCACTTTTTTCAGAGAACTACTCAAATCAAAGAAAAAGGAAGGTCAGCGCGCAGATCACGGGAGCTTGAGAGTCTTGAACCCATTCGACTTTCCATTTCCGCTAAAAATATTCATCCGACTCGCTTTTTTTGAAATCCCGTCTTTTTGACAGAAATAAGTGCCATTGGATTTGCTGAAGAATACAGATGCTCTTCATTTAGATTCCTCGTCCTCCTCACAGCGCATCATGATTTTGAAAACTATTTCAAGCATTTCGATTTTACAAACGATGTCTATTGACATATGCATGCACTAATGGAAATGAGATTCGTCAGAAAATAATATTTTCATTGAAACTCCTCATCCGTACCAACTTCTTGCAAAAACCAAGGCTGTATTCATTCCTCATCTGGAAATCTGGCTTCAATTCCTTCACGGGGAGGTAGTGAAAGTGTCACGGGCATGGGGCACTGCGGCAGGTGGTTACTGACATCAAACAAGTAATTACTTAATTTCGTTACGTCCTCCGCCTGACAAATATCCTTTAGAAATCTCTTTCCTTCAACCAGGAGGAAGGTCCGTGCCGATAGTAGAATATCACACGACCGAGTTTAACACCAGAGAAATTATTACAGGAATCTAAAGGTTTCCAATTTACACAAGAGTATTCAACATATATAAGTTTAAAAAATGAGTTAGTAAGCGAGCTTGACATACAACAAGTAATTACCGGCCCGGTTTCCTAGGCAAACGCATGCGCGCTGAGAGAGGGAGCGAAAGGGAGAACACTTTGGCGGCTTCAGCTGAAAACTTGCTCTTAAGGTTGGACTGTGGGAAACTAACGCCCTGGCCGGAACGAGAGGGAAAACACTACGATTAAGAAGGGGCCGAGTCCCCTGCTCAACTTGGGACTGACTTCCAGAAAACTCCTGCTTTTCTCTAGGATCCAGAGGAGATTCTTGGAGGAGGGGTCCTTGGGTGGTACATCTCGCCCATTGGTACTGCAACTCCCAGGAAGAGTTCTCATTGGGAACGCTTTCGAGTACAAAGTCATCCTGACTCTCTGGGTCCGTATCTTCGATCATGTACCTGTCCAACCAATGGCTTTGGAAAGTGGATCATTTCATAAATCACTGGTTGCGACAGAGGTTTCTGGACAGGGATGTCTGGGTGATCCTGTAGTCAGGATTCCGACTGGACTCCAGCTGCGGTAGTGTGGATGCGAATTCAGATCTCGCATCTCTGGGATGATGTCCCCCATAATTTTTCCTAACGTCTCCTCATTTTCACATCAGGACTTCCGCGTCCTTCCTTCGGTTTCCTTGGCTTCCTTTTACTTTCCCCGGACGACATGACTTGAGCTGTGGCTGCACGTTACAAAAGCAGTAGCAACCTCATTAAATATATCCTAGTCCTACAAGACTGACGGTTGCCAACATTTGTTTATTGCTGACAGATCGAGTCAGTTTGTATTTTCACACTAGGATTGCGAGTGTTTCTATGTGAAATGATTCGATACAAGTTTCGCTGTAGAACCGAAAGTGATTCTAATCAGCACCTTTATTATTTCGAGTGCTATAATGAAGTTATACAGTAACATTGCCCACGTCAAACCTTTCTTTCCTTCGAGCAATGAATCTGTGAACGAAGTAAGTGACGCTGAATGTGGAGATCGTGACCACTAGAACACCAGCCACCAACCCGAAGATCACTGAAACAACGAGGGTGGGATTTCGTATCTGAGGATTCTATTGCAGTCTTATGTCGAATGGAGAGGAACTTAGTTGGGGACTCACAGCCAAGAGGAGTTTCACAATTTTCTCCTATCACCGTCGGGTTACAACTGCCATACATGCATAAAATGGTCACTATGAGTACATATTCCTTAATAAATTGACACATTAACAAGTTCTACCCTACCTGCAAGTGCGCATAAGGGTCTCTATGTTGTGCGAACAATTTCCTCGATTCGAGCAATAGCTATCCGTGCACTGAGCTGTAGGAATAATATAAATAATATTATTGAAAATAAATAATCAATGAAAACAAAAGGCGAAGAGAAAATGATAAAATGACGTGAAACGGAATGTTCGTTCCGAATGTTCTCAGACACATAAAATCCAGGAGTAGATTACACAGAGTAATTCTGTAATCTGTGCAGTATATGCTGCTACTAAAAGGGAAAGCGAATGTTTCATGAGATACGGGATACCAGCTACTGCATTAATTGCCATAGGCATTATTCCATTATCCATTTTGCTAGATCGACTCTCGTGAGATCATTTTTGTGTCACAAGGCTCGATAATTTTAAATGCTACATCGGTTCCTTGTCCAAATCGCATCAACTATTGATGATGAGTGCCTCAAAAAATTCACAATAAATATGGAATTTACTAAATTCAGACGTGGATGAGGTCTCGCTGGAGAAACTCGCTGAATCGGCAAGTTTAAAGCAGTGACTTCCCAACTCAATGGATCTCATTCCTCAAATTTTCCAGGAAAATCCGACATTCCCGTCAAGAGAACATCCGGCAAACACAGGGCATTGGTTTGGGTAAAGTCTAAATTATACTCCACGAATTCCACGAGTGCTTGCTCGAAAGCTTAAAACTCAGAAGCTAAGCCTGGTCAAAATAATTTTTTTTTCGAAGCTTACTTCACCGTGCCTGCGAGATTATTCCTGGTGATACAAAAATTGGAAACGGATTCATCCCCGAAACGACGCAGCCCAATGGTTAAAGAGGCCAATGTTTATGTGAAACTCACTTCCACAAGCCCGACCAGGGAAATTTAGGTCGAGATCCTGGAAACCCGTCTTGCATCTGCATACCGGAGAACGTCCATCCACCGATGAAATGCAATTGGCGTAATAAGGACACGTGTCGTCCTCACAGGCAATATTCTGAGGATCTGAGAAAAGCAGTGAAGTTCGACCGAATGGACCATTAGGATTATTACACTAATGCCCCTTTTGCGGCTGTACGCACCCATGTTGATATTGGAGGTGAGTATGGAATCACTATCCAGCAAGCCAGGCCTTGAATTCGCCAGATCGTCTAATATGCTATACCAATTGTCATCTAACGTGGTCTTCATTTTTTCGGCTGGATTCCCTTGATTCGCTAGGTAGTTGTTGTATTTCTCTCTAGGGAATTGCATGAGGCTGTTGATCCTCAATTTGCTGCCTACATCTCTCTCTATTAGAAGAGGAACGATGACCTCCATTATTTTGATGTCCGTGTCCATATACAGATCATACTGGTTTCCAAATGCCAATTTCGCTGTTTCTTGTATCTGCACGGAATAAGGTATGCAAATAATGGGGAAAAATATATAAATGCAAAATGATACTCGAATTATACTTATCACGCATTTTTAAATTTAAAGTTTTCAAGGTTGAAATATTTGGCGTTTTGCAAGCCTTCATGGAGAAAACTCGCCAAAAGCCTTAATCAAAAGGGGACGGCGGGGACACGATTCTGCAGCTTGCCCATAGATAATGCTTCGACGGAACTTATTTTTCAATTGTGGTGTAATGATAAGGATGGGTGGTAAAATCCTTATGAGCTAGCAATAAGCAGGCAAATTTTCGAAGAAATAACATTAGGCGAAACGGAAATGTTAAGGAAGATGACCATTTTCTGCCTAATCGCGTCCCACAATGAAACTGGCAAGAACATCACAAATAGTGCAAAAGTGTCAATGACCATACTGAAGTACCTGAAGTTACCTTGATACGTTAGAATCAAGAAATTTAGGCAATATAAGATGGCCAATCTCGACAAACAGGGTGGCCAAAGAAACGCCAATTTGAAAGTACAAGAATTAACACTGGACACTTTTTGCTAATCCTTATTCTTTTCTCTCTTTTCAACTTCTAACATGTATGGCAGTTAAATAAAGGCAGCCTAACTCAACGATGCCACAAGAAAGGTCCCATCAGCTATCAGTTAAACAACGTGTGCGAGTCGTAGAGGCGTACCTATCTAGTCCAAAGATGGTCGCTCGATCGAACACATTATAAAGTCACCACCTTATTTCGATTGAGGTTTTTTCCCATACTGTAAGATGGCGTTGTATGCGAATAGATGGCGATGATATCAACCGAAGCGCCATCTATCTACGTGCAATGCCATTTTTCAGGCATAGGAAAAAAAAACCATTCAGGACCATGCACCAATCTGCCAAATATTTCCTGCTAAATAATTCAATTTCGTACTGCCTTCATAACTTCTTTAATACGTACCAAGACTTTCCTAAATGATTCTCGGAAATTATGAGGGTACCTATACGGAACATGAACATACTGAGCTCAAATCGCAACCTAATGAGACTCAAAACAATAACGTATTCATCTGACTATCTCACCCCACAAACAATTTCATTATGAGTAAACATGAGTAAATACTGCTTTAAATATTACTGGAATCAAAGTTTTAGTAATTACAACATTTAAACATATATTCAGCTGAGCACTACAAGTACAGATATAGTCAGCCATGAAATGGATTCAAATGGGCAAGGAATATAATCACGAGTTTCCTCCCGAGATTCATGAATAGCTGCTTTTTTGGAATCGAAGTTCAGCCATCTGTTTCCTTTAGGACTTTTCCGTAAGGGAAGTATTTAGGGTCGATAGGAAAGTTCTGGCCGTTTCAACAACATTCCATAAAACCGAGTTTTTTTTAAAAAGCAAAAAAGGTCATTCAACGAGGTTTTCGCCATCACGGTAAATCACCTTCTGCCAACGATCAGGCAGACTCCTAATTCTATCCCTGTAGAATTGAGCTGGCTGTGAGTCGAAGGAAATCAATCAGCCAGTTTTCGACCTTGGCGTCAAGTGGAACCTTTTCTGGCGAATATGGCTGTCCAGAGCGAGGAAGAGATGGTAGTCGGTTGGCGCCATGTCTGGGCTATTCAGAGGGTGAGGTTGAACCTCCTAGCCCAGATCCAGCAGTTTCTGCCGTGTGATCTTCGCGATATGCGGCCGTCGTGCAGGTATCGAACGTAACGGTGCCCTAGCCTCACCGTGTGGAGTTTGTCGGCGAGGATCTGCAGCTGATCGCAGTAGCAGGCGGCGGTGATGCTGGTATCGGATGGGAGCAGCTCGAAGTAGATCACGCCTTGCACGTCCCACCAAATACACGACATGACTTTTCGGGGGTGCAGGTCACCTTTCGGCTCCGGCTCTGGTTGGGCATCAGCATCGAGCCACTGGCGCCTGCGTCGGTAGTTGACGTACGGCATCAACTTCTCGTCTCTAGTGACTACGGAATCCAGCCTTAATTTGTGCGCTCTTACGACAGCAGCGAAGTGCACACCTCAGCACAGCGTTCCCGGTCGCGGACGGTCAGATCGTGGGGTAACCACTGGCCCAACTTTTTCTTCTTGCCGATTGCAGCCAGGTGCGTCACGATTGTGGACTGGGCGCAGCCAAGTGCTGTCGCTAAGTCGCGGGTACTTTGCCTCGGATCGGCTTCTACTGTGTGCTGCAACTGTTCGTCGTCGATTTCAGATGGGCGGCCTGACCTGGGTTCATCTTCGAGGCTGTAATTTTCAGACCGAAAACGATCGAACCATCGTTGCGCTGTAATTTCATGAACTGCACCTTGGCCAAACGTGGCGTAGATGCGGCAACTCGATTCAGCTGCTGTATTGCCAGATAGGAAGTCGTAAAGAAGGCACCGACGTTGGACTTTCTTGTTAAAGTCGATTTTGGAAGTCATGGTTATAGGTTTTAAACGACTAAGCAACTGCCACCTAATCACGCCCACACTTCCTTTATATACTGCTACTGTGGAAGGTTCGAGAAAGTTACATAAATTTTTTTTTTGGAAAATTCTTGAAACGGCCAGAACTTTCCGGTCGACCCAATATCATCCCTTACGAAAATGTCTTATAGGATTTCTATATATTCCTATAAGAATCCTATAGGAACCTAAAGGAATCCTATAGGAACTTAAAGGAATCCTATAGGTTCCTATATGCCCCATAGAGTTCAGTTCGTAAGAATTATGCCCTTATTCCTTTTGAAAACCACGTACGAAAATAAGTGGACTCTATCCAAATGGAGTTTCAGTAAAGAGACGTGCTCGCAGGTTCTGTCTTATATTTCCTTAGGTCAAGAGAAGAATACTACTTCTCTCTACCAAAGGAAGTATACATGCAATCCAGCGACATAAATTGGTGCGGGGTCATAAATTATGCAGACCATCGCAGTACTGGTATTAATAATGCATGTCCCCCCTACCATGGAAAAACCCCTAATCGATTTTTTATTTTTCACCGGAATGCTGTGCCATTATTAACCCCGGTCGCCTTTTCCGTCGTAATGCCTGGATTCCGAAGCCCAAAATATCCTCCCCGAGTCCTATAGGTCAGGAGACCTAAAAGACCCTATAGGGATCCTATAGGATTCTAAAGGATCCTATAGGTTTTTCGTGTTTCAAAAACCTATAAGTTTAAGTCTATAGGTTTCCTATAAGAAATAGCTAAAGGTTTCCTATAGGACATTTCCGTAATGGATTGAATCGTCACCTTCAGCGATGGTATTGACTTCATTTCCATAAGCTCTAATGTTCAACATTTCTTTTCAAACAAAACAGAACGTGAATATTCATGACCTCTCCAATTCATAGTCATATTTCCTGGGTTGTGCGGAGATGAGTTACATTAGCTGTCCCTTGAAATATTTCCTGTTCCATTTCGAGAAGAAACACACCCCATCACGTCCTACAAGTGTCCACAAAGTCCCGTTGCTTCTATGACTATTTCTTCTGATTACTGACCAATAACTGAAATATGTTGCATAGTGATGATAGGACTTATTTGCGTCCAAATGAACAGGTTATACATAACCTGTCACTATTCTAGAGAGTCCAGGCGCGTTCTTGTCACTGCGTGCTTTATCGTATCAAATCGATTTCTTCAAGTTTTCTATGCTGGGTGGGGCGAAAGTAGGGAAACATAAATTTTGTGAGAATTTAATTTTCTATGTGACTGCTTGAATACAGCACATTTTCCCATCGCTTTTAATCAATTTTGCATACAATAGGTGAGGTTAGGTGAAAAGAAGCTTCTGTTGCGTTCATTGAAATTGACGCAATATGAGCGAGCTTACTCACCTGGAAGAAGTACGCTCATTTTGGCGATAATGAACCACTTCCATTGCTGTTCGTGTTGGTAACCATCACGCTTGAGCTCGCAGAAATGTTCCATGACTTTGTGAACGACATTTGCAAGCGGTTTATCACTGAATGTTGTGAAGTAACTTAAAAATGGAGCAAAGAGCCGAAAAACGAGTGGAGTTGTGATTATCTGCGCAAAAACAAAAATGTTTAATTAGCGTCTAATTACCATGAAGGACATTTTAATAAGCCAAGACTCTCGATCCATTGCATCGCGGATTTGATAGCAAAACTCCATGCCATTGGCAGTGTTACTGTTGAAAAAAGGTGCATCAAGAACAGCCGGTCAAAAAAGTACTTCTGACTTCATTGTCCAGAAAGCCATAATTAATAATGTGAGAGATGTGGAGAGCTCAGGGCATTAACGAATGATACTGCAGAAAGAAAACTTAAATTGCACCAAAATGTCTATATTACCTGACGTTTGCGCCACCATGTATAAGACGATTTGGATATAGAATTGTATCTCAATTTATCTATTTCATCACCGTCGAAGAGGCTAAAGTATGTCATAGAACTCACCACGCTCTTCATGAAAAGTGTCATGTTCACTATTTGAGATTCTCGATCTTCACATCTCGGATCTAATTCGTTAAACTGGATTTCTTCGAATGTTCCTGTTAGCGTAAATTC